TTTAAAGGGGGGCCATAAGCCAAAAAAGCTATTGTGAACCCCCCTAATAAAGAAACAAAATACAATGAAATGTAATGAAATGTAATGAAATGTAATGAAATCTTACCTATTCTTGAATAATAATTGAAATAAGAATAGAAACCTAACTCCAATTCTTATATAAATAGTAAATGTTACAAAATAGGCTTACCTATTAGGAGGTATCAAATTTACTCAGTACATTCAGTTTTACTAGTCACAAAAGAAAACATAAAAATAAACCAAAAAAATTTATAAATAAATATTTTTAACAAGAATTAAAAGAGTATGAATTTCAGTAAGATAAAAATGAAAATGAATGAAAATGAGATAAAAGAATAAGATAAGAGTAGTACCTTAAAAGAACAGGAAGTTAGATGAACTACCAACACAGTAAGTACACGATTGACTCTTAAAGAGTATCTTATCAAATGATTCAGGATAAAAGCTAAAGAATAGTGTTAGATTGGTCAACAATTACTTTTAATGATAATAAAAGAAATAATAAATAAAATAACTCAAAGCTACAAGTCCCTAGCAGATGATCCCCTCACACTCAATTTGATGCTGAACTTGATGATTGATATTGAATAGTTGAGTGATGTCGAGTTGTGATAAAGAAGATGGGATGAGGGAAGAGCCTGTTGAACATGCCAGGTTGATCATGACATCATGATTACAACACTCCTGATCTGGAGTATTGACAGTACCTGCACCCACTATGCACACCTAATTTCCAACACCTGCACCCACTGTGCACACCTAATTCCAACACACCCCCTTGCACTCAGCCGGAAGGTGAGGGCATAACAGCTTGAAGAAATCAAAGAACCTTGGATGATTTCAGATCAAACAAAGTGATATTGAAGATTCATGTGTTTAGTCTTGAAAGCTGAGTGATTGGATTCATTATTTGCTAGAAGAATTGCCGCTTGATTATCTTCATAAATCGGGTAAGGCAAAGGAATTGAAAAATTGAGGGCAGTTTCAGTCACCATTTTAAGCCAGATCAGTTCTTTAGTGACTTCAGTGATAGCTATGTATTCTGCTTTGGTTTATGACAAAGAAATAGTTGATTTTTTATTTGATCACCAAGATATTAAATTATCATTCCAAAGAATTAAATAGCCTGTTGTTGATTTGCCTGTGATTTGACAACTTGCGGCAACTCGCATCAACATATGCTTCAAAATTAAGATCTTCAATTTGAGTTTTACGGATTGTAATTCCAAAATCCTTAGAACCTTTCAAGTAGCAAAGCGTATGAATTGCAGAATTCCAATGTAAAATGCCAGGATTCTTCAAGACTTGAGATAAACAGCCTACAGCAAAGGTGATTTTGGGAAAAGTTGTAACACTGAGATAATTCAAAGCGCCAACCAATCCTCAATAATGATGTTGTGGGTTATTTAATTCTTCAATTTCATTTTTCAACACTTTCACCAGTTGAGAATTTGGTTTCATAGGAGTGGCTAGAGGAATTGAATCCAAACAACCGTATTTGATAATTGTTTCTTCAATTTAATGAGTTTGATTAATACAAATTTCAGCAGGAGATTGATCAAATTTCATACCAAGAAGATGTTTTGTTTCACCAAGATCTTTGATTTTGAATTGTTTACTGATGAGCTGTCTGAAAACTTCTGGTTCTGAACTGAAAATTGCAATATCATTGACATGAACGTAAAGCCAGGTGTTTGCTGACCAAAAGACACAAGGTTCTGCATAACTTCGATTGAAACCAACTCATAGAAGCCACGGAGAAAGAGTAAGATGCCAAGCTTTTGGAGCCTGTTTCAAACCATAAAGAGCTTTTTTAAGTAAAAGCAATTTATTTGGAGGAATATTCAAGCCTGGTGGTGGATTCAGCGTTATTCTTTCTCAAAGGGGAGCATTTAGAAACGCGCATTTGACGTCAATTTGATGAAATTTCAATCCTCTCTGAGCGGCAAAAGTGATCAATAAACAAAGAGAAACGAGTTTTCCAGTTGGAGAAAATGTTCAATTATAATCACGACCAAATACTTCCTTAAAACCTTGAACACAAAAACAAGCTTTATACTGTTCCGGCTGATTTGAGACTTCAGGTTTAATTCAAAATACCCAAGTACAATTCAAAGGATGTTCTTCTTTAGTCTTGTCAATTAAATCCCATACCTCATACTCCTTCATATTATCTGTGAGCCTGGGTCTCTATAGTGACAGCAGGACACAAGATATGGGGGGGGCACTTTTTATATGTATTTCTTAAGAGAAGAGGGATACAAATAAAAGTAAGAGAAAGGGAGAAGAAGAGTGAAAGAATTAAATGGTATTTTTGTTCTTTATTTATTTTAAGATGATGATTAAACTTCTGGCAGTCTTACTGTCTCTTTTTGGATGGCTGCTGACAGTCTTACTTTCCTTAGTAGGATGGCTGTTATAAGCGGAGCTAACTCTGACGCCTCCAAATCAACAGAAACTGAAGAATCAGTTCAACCACAATTTTTTAGATCAAAGATCAAGGCTCTTTAAAGGGAAACCTATGTAGTTTTCAGTTGTACTACCAAACAGGATGAGTTGAGATAATAGCAGCTATGGCTTGCTTTCTTTGATCAGGGCTTTGGTTTGGAGAAGAAGTGAAAGAGGTTGAGAGAGACAGAGAAAGAAACAAGCAGAAAGACGCTAGCTAAAACTTATGAGAAGTTACTTACTAATGACACCAATGACACTATGTAGTGGGAAAGGTGGGAAAAGTGGAGTACTTCTGGTTGATAAGTGATGGCTTGATCTGGGTCTGGTTGTTGTGGTTCTGTGTTGGTCTGGAGTCTGAAAATCCTCTGGAAGCGGAATCAACAAGCTCAGAGAGGATTTTCAAAGTTGGATGACATAATCATTACATGTACATGTGGTTGGGAGAGATGGAATTCCAATTTGGTTGGTATTTCACAAGGTACGTTGAAATGTTACAAAGTCAATGAAGGAGAAGAGTAGTGTAAAACTGGTGAGTGGTGACTATGGTTAAAATTCAATGGGGATTTCATTTCTGAAGTCAGAACTTCATAAAATTATAAGATGAATAAGTTACGGTAGGAACATAGATGAAAAGGAGGACTTAAGCAGTCTTTTGGCCAGCTTGGCTGGCTCTAAGGCTGACATTATCAACTTCACCATCTAAAGCCGTCATCCACTTTGCTTTATTGGGATGTTTGAGAATTTCTTGAAACAATAGAGTATCAGAGTTGACCTCTTTCAAGTTTAATTCCGGTACCCCCCTTTGACGATGAGTGAGTATATTCTGAATAGATATCCCCAATTATTTCCTTTGAAGCAACTTGAGTATCCGGACTAATCATTTCTTGAAGAGTATTCATGTCTGTTTCTTCTTCAAGTGCCGGTGTCTCTTGTTCTGGAAATGATCAAAATTCTTTGGGTTCATCATCTTCATCAACAACATGAATTACATTGAAAGGATTGAAGAAAAAGCTGGACTGATCAATGGACTCATTTGAAAGAGATGGAAAGACTGATTCTTTGAAAGAGATATCTTGACAGACACAAACTGTTTTCAAATCAATCTTCAAGACTCGATAAGATGAAAAATCATTGGCATAGCCAAGAAAAATTCCCCTTTCGCTAGTAGGAAGAATTTTTGACTTTTGATGAACTTCTGGAGTCAAAATGTATGCTAGGCAACCAAATGATCGAAGTTTATCAAGATTCATTTTTCGTCCAAAGAATTCTTCATAAGGGATTTTGAATTCTTGAGTGCTTGATGGTAGCAGATTACATAAATTTGCTTCAGCCAAGAATTGTGGTGAAAGATTGGCTTGAGCATAGAGACATTTCTCTTTGTCAAGAATCATCCAATTTGACTGTTCAGCCATGCCATTCTTAGGGGGTAACCAAATCCACCATTAATTAATGGACTGGTTTGAAAAAATCCACCCTTTTTTGAACATGTTGGTTATCCATTTAACCCCTTTTGGGGCCCATTTATGCAAAAAAAGTTTTTGGAAAAGTGACTGGTTTCTGATGGTGGATTTCCTATATTTGATACCCCCTATTTTGAAGAGTATACAGCAGCGAGGAAAATTGAGAAATTCCTTTGATTGAACAGAATTCTTCGAAGAAATTTTTTTTGAATTCACCTCCATTGTCTGAGATAATTTGTTTGACTTTCTTATTGGTTTGATTTTCAGCCCAGATAATCCATTCTTCCAGTTTGCTGAAGGTCTCAGATTTGCGTTTAAGAAGTACCTGGTGTGTTGATCTACAATTGTCAAGAAGTACTGACAACCGCTGACTGAACGAGTTTGGAAAGGTCCAACAAGATCAAGATGGATGGCTTCCAGAACTGAAGAGGTCAAAGCAAATTTTCCTTTAAACGGTTTCTTAACTCCTTTACACATCTTGCAAATTTCACAATTCTGATCCACTGCATTTGGAATGAGTTTCTTATGATAGACAGAGTTGGGATGACCAAGTCTTGAATGCCAATCAATGTTTTTTGACAAGGAGAAATAATATGAAGCAGTAGGTTTCATTGCAAAGGTATTATCTAATTCAAATAAATTATTATTGATTTTACTGGAAAGTTTGAAACCTTCATCAAAGTTAATAATGAAAATATTTTTCTTCTTAGTAATAGCAACGGTGGGCCGCTACACTAACCGTAGCGGTTAGTGTAGCGTAACGCAGCGGAATTCCCGTTAGCGTTAAGCGTAGCGTAGCGGAATTCCGCCACGACACCGCTAACGCTACGCGTGTGGGCCACAAAAAAGGGCCCACTACGCTGCGCTACAGCCGTTTTTAGCGGTTTTTAGCCGCTTTTTCCGCTAAAAGCGCTGTAGCGCAGCGTAGCGTAGCGAAAATGCGCTACAAAAGCGCAAACACTACAAAATTTTGGCGCAAAAAAAGCGCCGCTACGCTACGCTTTTGGGCCAAAAGCGTAGCGGCCCACCGCTGGTAATAGTGGCTGAAGAATCAAAAAGTTATTTCATTCAGATGAGAGATTGATTAAGGTCAGGGGTGAAGAGAACATCATCAAGGGTGATCAAGTTTTTAGCATCATTGATGATTTGAATTTGTCTGGAAGCAACAGCAACAACTCGTTGTTTATGATTACCGGTGTTGATTTCAATGTTAACTTCTTTGATTTTCTTAAATAAAGTATCATAATTGATCATATGATGAGAGGCGCACAAATTGAGAATCACCGGTTTAGACGTATCAGAACCGAAGTTCAAGTACACAGAGACTTTGACGTAATTGGACTCCACCTCTTTGGCTGAAGTAACATGACCAGAGGCCGGACCAGCAGCAATACGTTGTTCACCTGTGAGTTTATGACATTTCCACTCCGCATGAGCGGCTTTTGGGTTATGTAAACCTTTAGAACACAGATTTGGATTGACATACTTCTTCAACTCAGTTTTGAATGCCGAAGCTTCTTCTTTAGCAATCAATTTCAAAGCGGTCTTAGACAAGGAGTTAGAGATGGTTGCTCTGCATCCGGATATCCGGCTGCTTTTTCCGGAAAATTGGCCATCCGCACCCGCTGGCGGGTATCCGTCGGCCTCAGCGGGTATCCGAGCGGGTATCCACGGATACCCGCCCTTTAAAGAAGCTTCTTCTTTAGCAATCAATTTCGAAACAGTCTTAGACAAGGAAATAGAGATGGTTACTCTGAATCCGGATATCTGGCTGCTTTTTCCGGCAAATTGGCCATCCGCATCCGCATCCGCACCCGCTGGCGGGTATATTCCATCGGCCGCAGCGGGTATCCGAGCGTTTATCCACGGATACCCAACTTTTAAAGGGCTGGCGAGGGACCAGCTGGAAGGGTTTCCTTCCAGCCAGTGAGGTACATGCTCAACAGCTGGAAGGAATTCCTTCCAGCTAGCAAGGTACATGTACCTTGACGGCTGGAAGGAAATCCTTCCACTTGACAAGGCACATGTACCTCGTTGACCGGAAGGAAAACCTTCCAGCCGTCAAGGCACATGGACCTCGACAGCTGGAAGGAAACCCTTCCAGTCAACAAGGTACATGTACCTTGTCAGCCGGAAGGGTGTCCTTCCAGCCGGCAAGGTACATGTACCTCGTTGACTGCAAGTATTTCTTTCCAGCCGTCGAGGTACATGTACCTCGCCGGTTGGAAGGAAACCCTTCCAGCATTGGATATCCTTTGGGATACCCGGATAACCCCCAGTATTTTGAGGAAAAGGGGCCATCTGCACCCGCTGGTGGGTATTGCCAGCGGATAGCGTGTATCCACAACAGATACCCGTCGACCATCTCTAACGTAGTGTTCAATCATAACCCGCTTCTTTTGAGGTGTTTTTTGGGTGCTTGGCATCCAACTTAGCAGACAACTTAAGTAGCGCAGTGTGAGCCTGGGTCTCAACAGTGACAGCAGGACACAAGGATTGGGGGGAAATTCTGGATGTATTTCAAGGGGATAAAGAAATACAACTAGAATAAGAGAAAGGGAGAGAGAAGGGAAGAGAAAAGAAATGAATAATATTTTAATTGTTTATTTATTTTAAGATCAAGTTTTTATGCAGTCTTACTTTCCTTAGAGGATGGCTGTTATTAAGTGGAATTAATCTACGCCTCCTAATCAAATGAAACTGAAAAGGGTACTTGGTATGGGTATATCAATCCAACCTCAATTTTTTAGATCTATGATCAAGGTTCTTTAAAGGGAATCCTATGTGGTTTTCAGTTATACCACCAAACAGAGAAGATGATGATGACTTGATTTGATGTAATGAAGTTTGAGGCAGAGGTTTAGTAGAAACAGAATGGAGTAATCATTCAGAGAGACAAAGAAGAAACTTAGCAGAAAGATGCAAGCTGAACTTGGCGTGTTGATAATCGCACGCCTCCCCCCTCCCCGCCCGCTGTGGAACTGCTGAACAATCAGAAACAGAGCTTGGAGGGGAAATAGACAACTACACTACAAATAATGTAAGTTGAGGCTATGGGTGCTGTTGAGGCTGCCCTCCTGTACAATTTTGGAGTTGGGAAGAGTTACACTAAGAAAAAGAAGAAAGGTGTGGCGTGGATTCTAGTAATTCTTAGTGAGATCTGGGACAGAGAGGTGTTATCAAGGTCTAGTGATAATACCACAGAGTGTATGAGGAGTGATGAGGAAGGTGGATTGTGGAGTGATGACTAAGGTTCAAAGGGTATGAGCAAAATATGCAGAGTTGGTCAAAGGATAATGTGCAAAATATGCAAGGTTTCTGAGGAATGAGTGCAAAGTATGCAAGGAGTCACTAAGGGGCAAAATATGCCAAAGAGGGGGAAAGAAAATATGACTAAATTATGTCTGGCAAAGTATGCATTGTTTGTTGTATGTATGTGGTTGTATGGTATATGCATCTATCTCTGGTTCCCTATGTGTATATATTGTTGTCTGTATGTATTCTCTGTATGTGTATTGTTATCTATATTCTCCTCTATGGGGGGTACAAGTTTAAGAGGGACTACTTATATACTCTAAGATACAAATGAGCACAGACTGTGGAAATTCTGGTTATGAGAAAGAAATGTACATATGTAGAAATAAGAGATGAGAAATGTAAACAGAAAACAAGGATGAGTAAAGGGGAACAAACCCAAAGAGGAGAAGGGCTGTGAAAGAGTGTACTACTGTTATCCTGAAGGGTACATGTGAAATAATGAGTTTAAAGAAAGTATCTGAGAAAATATCTGATATATGTAATGAGAACCAACTACTGTAAAGAATGTGACTGATGCAATGAGAAAAATAATTGTAAATGAGAGTACTTGAGAAAAATATGATGTATCAATCAATCTGTAAATATGGACTATATGTAGCTACTGTGTAATGTAAATGTAAAGAAAAACATCTATAAAGCTAAGAAAGAAAATAACTATTGATCCAGTAAGAAATGAAAAATGGCTTGAGTGAGTGACTATATGTAAAATTGGGTGTAGAATCTGAATATATGTCATAATAATGAAGGAAAACCAAGTGAATATACAGTGAAATAATAGGGGCTTTGGAAAGGTATGGGTTACCACACCGCCCACGCCCACACCCCTCGGAAACAGCCTTCCCAAGGGGCGGGCAGACAAACCCGCCCCTCCAGGAGGGGCGGGTGGGCCGGCAGGGAAAACATGTTAGGTGAAGGGAGAATAAAGTTCTCCCTTCACTGATGTCAGCAAAA